GACCTGTGGGTTAGGGACGGAAAGATCGTAAACCCGGAACCGATTTACTATTTGGAGCGACGATTGGCCGACATCTCCATCGACTGCAAGGGACAGCTCATCGCTCCGGGATATATCGACCTCCAGATCAATGGTAACCACCAAATAGCTCATAGATAATCGACTCCTAATCCCACTTAACCTTCAATTGTAGGCCATTTTGGGTACGACTTCTCCAACTGCGAGATCGACATCTCGGAGGCCATACAAAAGACGGCGTCCGGACTCGTCCGACACGGCGTCACCGCCTTCTGTCCGACACTCGTGAGTCACGCATTAGTTCCCAAAACTCGTCGATAATCACTGAATAGATCCCATTATGTCTTCAGGTGACGCAATCGGCCGAGAGTTACCACAAAATACTGCCGCAAATCAAGCGCACCGCCGGCAGCAAAGCGTACGGCGCCGCCAATCTGGGCGCCCACGTGGAGGGCCCCTTCATAAGTCCCCACAAAAAGGGTGCCCACCCTATAGAGTTCATCAAAGCCATCGACTCGATGGACACAATACGGCAAACGTACGGCTCGTTAGAGGACGTGTCGATCATAACGCTGGCGCCGGAGTTGGACCCCACGGGCCGTCACGTGCGACAACTGGTGAGCGCCGGCGTCACGGTATCCGTGGGCCACTCGATGGCTACCCTGCAGGAGGGCGAGCGGGCGGTGCGCGCGGGCGCCACGTTCATCACGCACCTGTTCAACGCGATGCTACCGTTCCATCACCGGGACCCGGGGCTGGTAGGTCTGCTCACGTCGTCCGCGGTCGACAAACAAGTGTTTTACGGCATTATCGCCGACGGCATACACACCCACTACGCGGCCCTCAAGATAGCGTTCCGCTCGAACCCCACGGGAATGGTGTTGGTGTCGGACGCCATATCCGCCGCCGGACTGCCGTCCGGTAAGCATAAGTTCGGCGTCCAAGAGATCGAGATCACGGGGAACAAGGCCTACATCGCCGGCACCGACACCCTGTGCGGCTCCATAATGGCGCTCGACTACTGCGTCCGACACCTGAAACAAGTGACCGGCTGTACGACCGTCGAGGCGCTCGAGTGCGCGACACTACACCCCTCGCAAGTGTTGGGCATTTCGCACCGGAAGGGAACGTTAGCGTTCGGCGGCGACGCCGACTTCAACATATTAGACCCGGAGCTCAACGTTTTGGCCACTTTTATATCGGGCACCTGTGTTTCCCGTAACGACAGCGCACTGGACGTCGACGCGTTGGACGTATAGTTAGTTTTTGTTTTTTATCGTATAATTAATGAATTGTATTTTTTATACACATTTTGAAAAACAGTTTTTTTGCTATAAATTGTTTGCATTTGTTGTTGTTTTCGGTGGACAAACATCACTTTGTTTCGACGCTAAACCTTGTGATACAAACGTTATATATATATATACTGTATATCTGTATATAATTATCGCAAAGAGTTTTTTGTTAATAATAATTATATAATAATAATATTAAATATAAATTTGTTTTCCAATTATAATAATAAAAATTTATATCTCTTTTCGCGTGTCTCCGGAGAAAACGATAACTAAATCAATAATAATTAGACAAAAAACAAAAAAATCGATTCATTTCTCCACACTTTCGGTGATTTCCGTAATAATTAGCGAAACAAATAGAGAGAGAGAATAGTAATCATAAAGAAATGGATAACTGATTGGCGACTGAATGGTATTTGACGATCGGTTCCCGCGCCTCAATGGACAGGCGTTTGCGTACATGTTGTGACGGGACAGGTATGGTGTGTGTGTCACTCATCCACTATCTCCTCCACTCTGACTAACACCGATTCGATCAAATCGAAGTTCTGGAGGGCCAGCAGTACTATGCGGTGCTTGTGGTCGGGCGGCAGGTTCGGCAACAGGCCGTTCCCTCCACCGGCTATGCGCACCTCCACGCCCGGCCCGCCCTTACCCTTACCGCCACCCGTCTTAAGCTCCCGGAGTTTACACAACTCGAGCTTATAGTGGGCGCGCGACAGGTCCAGCGCTTTGTGCAGTGGCCTCAACAGCTGGTCCCTCACGTACGGCACGACGTCCCACAGTTTGGTCTCATTGGCCGCCTTATGATCCTTGAGACAGGCGTACCGAATGGCGTTCAATGTGGCGAATATCGTGTCGTTCTGCTCGAGCAGATCGGTGCCGACGCCGTCCGGCAGCGCGCACTTGATCGCCAACTTCAGCCACCGGTGCAGATGCGAGCCCTGGAACAGCGCCGACGTGAACATGAAGTCCTTGTAGATGCCAATAGCCAGCCCCTGGACGCCGGCGTGTTGAGCCGGTTGGGACAGTATGGACACCAGCATCTTATACCTGCCGGCGCCGTCGAACGCCACGATCAGCCGCCGGAACACATGTAAAGCTCGTTTGCGGTGCGACTCGACCGGCGAGTACACCATTAGGGCGATCAGCGAGCGCTCCACTGGCGTCGCGCGGATCAGGTCCACGAAGTGGGCCTCCAGTTCCATGTCGTTGATGTGCGACAGCAGCCGGTCGGCCAAATGGAGGCCTTTCTCGTAGACGAGGCACACGGACGAGCGGAGGAGGGCGTCGACGTACGGCAGGTGAACGCCCAGGACGTAGACGTGTGTGTAGACGCACGGGACGAACGAGTCGATGTCGAGGTCGTCGTGGCTGAGCGCGCACTCCGTGTGGACCAGATATGAGAGGTTAGCCATCGCCGCGGCGAACACCTCTTTGGTGACCGCGATGTCGGCGCTGTCCGCGTGTTTGGCGGACCTCTTGCTCGATGAGATCAAATCGATTCGCTCGATGAGGGAGTAGTAGTTGGACTGCAGTCGCGATATGAGACGCACGACATCGATGGCCAGCGCACGGGATTCGCCGCACGTCTCGGATGACAGATCCAAATGGAGTAACGGGTGGTCCAGGAGTCGCAGCAACGCCTTAAGCAGGACTGTCCGCTGCACCTGAGGGTCAGAGGTCTTACTGGCGGCCACTGTCTGGCCATTAGCTGTCGGCGCTGTCGTCGACGCCATCGCCGACTTCTTCGTGACGTCCACTTCGTTGACGAACGTCTGTATGAATGATATATAAAGCGGTAAAACACTATTGATTTGTTTGGCGTTCGGGTCGTTGTCGATGAACTGCTTCTCCTGGCCGTCGAACTGGTAGTCATCGATGGTGTCCGTCGACAGGCGGCTGATGTGGGCGTTGAGTGTCGACAGAACCCACTTCAGCGTCTCGTTCCTCTTCGTCGGCAACTGAATCAACACACACTCCAAGGGCTTGAGTATGGCTTTGAAGACGTTGTGGTCGCAGGCGGTGGCCATCGACGCGGACGACTCGCTGCCATCGTTGCCGCCGATGGTGTCCGTCTCGAGTTCGGCCAAGAATGCGATCAACACTTCCTTCGGTTTACACAATACACTCACTTCCAGAAGCAGTTGCTCGCAGTAGTTGAATGTCTTGAACCGGAACTCGTTGAGACCCCGGAGCCGGTGACAGATCATGGGTATCAGGTCCCAGAGGATATCCGAGTCCGTGGCGATCAACTGCTTCATCTGGTCGTTGCGGAACAGTTCCATCGCTTCCCGCATCTTATGTTTGTCTAAATAGCACTTCAGTTGCGATAAAAACATTTGCTTCACATCTTTGGCCGACATGTTGCTGGTGTCTACCGACGACATCCGGGTGTCTCATCCGCCGCAGACACACACGACACGCACGTAGACACGCTTGGATCAGACTCCTGGTGATGATAATCACGGCGTTCACAAAGTTTGCGGCGACTGATAGCCTGAAAGCCAGTGAAAAACTAAGCGTTTGTTTTGACTCTCATTTCACGCATTCATTGAATGAATGAAAAGCATTGATATTATGGCGAAAACAGAGCTCTCTATGCGATACACATTGACTGCACACACGTTGTTGTCATGTGATTAGCGCTCAATACATGCACTCAATGCCAGCCTTTACTGTCAATCGCTT